AAAACCGAAATTTTTCTGGTTTTTTTCCAGCAATTTGAAAAAAGCAGTTTTTTTAAAACTATAAGTCGTGTCAAATCGTTTGTTAAATGCAAATTATCATATGTAGATGGTCGGTATAAAAACGAGAGATGTCTCGATTTATTTAAATGTTCAACTATGGCCGGTATTCATAGTTGGTTCTTAAGTGTGATTTTAAGATGTCATAAGCCAATATTGAGTCGTATTAGTGTGTCTTAAGATATTACTCAAGATGAGATGATTACTTAAAATAAGAACTATAAATACCGTCCTATGACTGACAAAAAATTTACAAGTATGAATAATGATTGCTGTTAACGCGCCATCAATTCCGATTTACGTCACAATGTAGAGGCTGTGAGAACAGATAAGCATCATACGCTATCTTTCAGATTTTTTCTAAAATGTTTTCTCTTTTCTTAAATAAACGCATATCTACAACGACGTAACACAATATGTTCTAATTTTTACAGTTTAAGATTATCAATATTATTGTTATTAAGTTATTAACATTATTATTCGGCTGTTTTTATTTTCTCGTTTCTATGTACAAAAATTATACTGTAACAATTAACTAATATTGATTGGTAAGTACTCTTATTGTTAGTGTATTTTAATTATTCACAGAGGAATAATAACACACAGAAATGTCCATCTTCGATAATGATAAACTTGAAATACATGGAATTATATGCTCGAAATAACACTAGATTTCACTTATTATGAGATGTGTTGTTTGCAATGCAATAAAAAAGAATTCTAAGTCTTTAAATATCCACGAAAAAATATTTTCGAATCTTGTGCAAAAAGATGCCTCTCTTTAATGTGGACCAATTTTTTGACACAAATATCGTTTTTATTTTGAAAAATATTGCATTGTTGTAAGCGATATACGCAACAACTGCACCAATATCGCTATTAATGTCTTAAGTGACAATAACGTAAAATGGATCTGAAAAATGCAAACGTAAGATCGACCTGCGTACATTAGCAAATTAAAAAAATTCTTCAGAGTTGCAATTATTCCTTATAGAGCAATAATTGAACTGCTGACACGAACTAGTGACCCGCTTGTTAGGAAATAGTAGAGCTCACGGGCCAGCGGATAACGTCGAAATTAATCATTGGAGTTAATCTAATGTTGATTTATACCAGCGTAGATTAATTTTAATCTCGGTTTAACTTAGTTTTTATCTTCTTTTAATTCTAAGAATTAGAAAAAGATAAAGAATAAATTAAAGTAAGATTAAAGTGCCATCTACAATGGTAGACAATAAAATCAACAATACAATAAAAATGGATGAAAAAAAAAACGATTTTGGGATGTGAAGGATCAACTCTTTTTCTAACCATTCTGCGCATGCGTATAACAGCTGGAATTATTCACGGTACTCAAAAATCGCTCGCTTATCTACTTTGAGTATATAGTACATGGAGGTGGAATGCCTTTGTTCTTTTTTCTTTGTAGGCCGCAAACGAGTCCAAGAGTGGCAAGGAGTGCGAGAGAGAAAGGTATACGAGCGATATCACGTGATACTTCATCCTCTCTGTCTGTCGAATGATCGACGCATACGCAGAGAGGACGAATATTACTCGTCTACCTTTCTCTCTCGCACACATCTTGGACACAGTTTTCGAGCTAACATTCCTCCTCCATGTCTATATACTCAAAGTTATCTGTCCCCATGTTGCTCCATGTAAAAGTACCCGGTACTCTAAAATTTTTTAATTTGAATGTACGTCAAAGAGAGAGTCGCCCTCTGGATATGCCCACTCTTTCGACACGCATTCTGGCTGCCAGCGCACAGGTGTATTATATTTCAGGCTGTGAGGCTCTATTATATAAGAACACGTGTTCCGCAAGCCGTGTGATTATTAGACAAATAACATCAAGCAAAGTTGCACAGTCGAAGAGAACATATTTAGTGAAATCGATAGTGAGTAAATTAAAAACAGATCAGTATACAAGTGCATATAATTATAATGTCGTGGATAAAAAATCTTAAAATATGGCTCTTCAATCAAATGTGTACGAGCGAAGCACGTCTCGACGGTAAAACTGATGTGATAACGGGAGCAAGTAGTGGTATCGGCAAGGAAACTGCCAGAGATTTATATGCGAGAGGTGATTTTATTGAAATGACAATCTTAGTTATCTTTGAACTTTTAAATTCAAGTATATATTATATAGAATAAACGTGTGTGTGTGTGTGTGTGTGTGTGTGTGTAATATAAATTTCTTAATAATCACAAAATGACAATGCAAAATGTCATTATTAGGTATAAGAACGAAGACTTTAGAAAAGAAGCATTATATTCATTTCATTAGAATTCTATAGGCCTTTTATTCATTGCTTTAATTAGACTTTTATAAAAATTTTTTTTACTTAATAATTAATACTTATATATACTCTTGAATACTCTCGTAAAAATAACGTGTATTTTTAGGCGCCAGAGTAATTTTAGCTTGTAGAGATATAGAGAAGACGAATAAAGTAGCTGAAGATATAAAGAATAATCCACCTTTAAGGTAAATATATAAATTTGTGCTATAAGAATCAATCAATTCTATAAGAAAGAATCAATCAATTAATTTAATTACTATTTGTTTTTATATTCTCCTTCTCTCTCTTTATAAAACTATATTTATTTCAATTAAATTTTTGCATGTTGAATAAAATAACGGTGTGACTATCCACGGAAATTTTAGGGTCAATAAAGATGAATATAAAAAGAACACAGGTGAACTTGCAATTTATTTTCTGAATCTACGTAGTTTAAAGAGCGTGAGAGATTGCGCTAAAAACTTACTGACGAACGAAGCAACTATTCACATACTTATAAATAATGCCGGTGTGAGTGCGCTTCCGTACGAGAAGACGCAGGACGGAATTGAAACGACATTTCAAGTCAATCATCTTGGTCATTTTCTTTTGACACTTCTGCTATTGCCAAAAATGCAGTTATCTTCTCCCAACTGCAGAATAATCAACGTCTCGTCATTTACATATGTTGGTATGAATAGCGATAGTGTTGATAGCTTTGAAAAGAAACTAGAATGTTTTTTGTTCACATCCAGAGTTCTCGTTTAAAATAAATGTGTAATAAAATATTATGTTATAGCTGGTGACATAGATTTCGATGATATTAATCTGGAGAGATCTTACGGACCACTTAAAAGTTATACACAATCCAAATTAGCGAATATTCTATTTACCAAGGAACTTGCTCGTCGATTGAAAGGTATGCCAAAAAAGGAAGCGTATTATTACAAATTTAGTTAGATAACATTTATTTAATATCTATTTAATTAATATATTTAACAATCGATCGATCGTTAATGATTTGTTATGCAATGAAAAAAATACACTTAAGATGACTTTTGCATAAAGATTTCGATTGTTAGGAGCAAATATTCGTGGGATAAACGTATATGCTGTACATCCTGGTGTTATTTCTACCGGAATATCACAATATGGCAGCAGTACGGTATTTCCAGGTGCAACTTTTTGTTTCAATACGTATGCCCAATTATTTTGTAAAAATATTATACAAGGAACGCAAACAACAATATATTGCGCAGTGGATGAAGAAACAGCTAATGATACTGGACTTTATTATTCGTAAGAACACATATATTATTTACTATACGAAATTATTTTTATGCAGAGTATGATACAATATTCTACATTATCTTTTATACTTTTTTTTTATGTGTAGGAACTGTGACATTGCTACTACATATCGCAAGGCGAATGATCCACAATATCCCGAAAAATTGTGGAATTTATCTTGTCGTCTTTTGCATCTGGAACCAGAAGAAGATTTTATCACATTTTTGAAAACAGTTTCACGTCAAATGCTTTAAAAAAAATTTCTTTTTTTACAGATGAATTATCGTAGAAATTTTAAATATATAAAATTTATATGTTTATATTATTTTATATTATTTTATACTATTTTATACGTGTGTGGTCATATATTTAAAATGTTTACAAAAAATATCTAACAAAAGAATTGTGTAAAGTACGATGTCAAGTTATTTGCATGTATAATATAATTTAGTTGTCTAGGAATTTTAATTACAATACTGGGTAAATAAAACACTTCATATAAATACATTTTATTTTCCATGATTTTAATAATGATTGACGAAATTTTTTAGTCCTATAATGACTTTGATGATCTTTTTAATGAAAACCATAATTTTTTTTTTTTTGACTGTGTTTAATCCTTGTCGCGAAAGCAAAATGGAATATCAAAAGAGCGATATGAAATTCAATTAGAGACTTTTATTAATAAATATTAATTAACGCGAAAAAAGGCTGTCTATAGTCTTGAGCTCGTTCTATGGTGTCATATATCGGAGTTGGATAACCGTTAGTCGATTCCGTGATTCAAATATATATGGTAGATTGCTCTTATGTTAGTTTTTATATTAAAAAGAGCTCTATTTTTTGATCTCTAATGTTTTGATGTATAGTGTTTTTTTTCTAATGGAGCATAGACGTTAAACATTATAGAAGATTGCGAATGAGCAGTCTATATTTATTATATCTATAATCTTTATACCAATAGTCCACTTATGATAACTTCATTACATCAAACAGCCTGCATCCAGATTGTTTGGACGCGTATGCGTTATCACTCAACTTTGACACTGCATTCAATATCATGTATAGCAGAACAGACCTTAGCAATCAGAATCCACTATATAAGAACATGTGTGTGATTGTGATTGTTGAACAAACAACATCAAGCAAAGTTGCACAGTCGAAGACTAGCGCATATTTAGTGAAACATTGAGTAAATTGCAATAATATAGGTTATTGAATAATAGAATATTAATAATGTCGTGGATAAAAAATCTCAAAATGTGGCTCTTTAATCAAATGTGTACGAGCGATGCACGTCTCGATGGTAAAACTGTTGTGATAACGGGAGCAAGTGGTGGTATCGGTAAGGAGACTGCCAGAGATTTATACGCAAGAGGTGATTTTATTGAAATGACAATCTTAGTTAAACTTTGAAATTTAAGTAGACATTATATAGAATAAATGTGTGTGTGTGTGTGTGTGTGTGTGCGCGCGCGCGCGCGCGCGCGCGTGCGTGTGTAAAATATAAATTTGTGACTGGATATTGTAAAAAACTATTGCACACTTACATCTGTGTTAGCTCTTATAGACTTTTATTGTAATATGTTTGATTTATTCTCGAGAGCTCATGTAAATAATATATAAATTTGTTATTGATTAAAAGATAACAATGCTAAATACCATTATTAAATAATCGTGTAAGAATTAAATTTTATGAAAGTGAACATTTTTTTGTTAGAATACTAGGCTTTTTATTCTATGCTTTAATTAGATCTTTATAAAAACTTTTTTTATTTTAAAATAATCTTTAATAGTCAAAGCTTAGTAATTAAAAATAAAATTAATATATATAATAGGCTATATGAGCTAAAGCTTGGGTGTTATCTCACTCCAATATTTAACAAATCTTTAATAATATAAACAACAAATGTTTCGACCCCGATCGAGTCAATGTTAGAAAACGGAAATCGATTAAAACATTACATATAATAAATTCAAATTTTTACAATTATACGTGAAATGTTAAATGTGTGCTCGCAGTCTATATGAAGCAGCTCGAAAAATTAAGTTAACGACCAATACAACTTAATTTTTCGGACTGCGATTGTACTTCATACGGACTATGAACGCACATTTAACATTTTACGTATAATTGTAAGGATTTGAATTTATTATATGTTTTAATCGATTACCGTTTCCCAACATTGTTAATGACCCAATTGGGGTCGAAACGTTTGTTGTTTATGTTATTAAAAATTTGTTAAATATTGGAGCAAAATAACACTCAAGCTTTGGCTCATAGCCCATTATCTGTAATAATTTTTTTTTATTTTGTTAAAATATATACTCTTAAATACTCTCGTAAATAACGTGTGCTTTTAGGCGCTAGAGTAATTTTAGCTTGTAGAGATATAGAAAAGACAAATAATGCAGTTGAAAATATAAAGAATAATCCACCTTCAAGGTAAATATATTAATTTTTAATATAAGAATCAATTAATTTAATTACTATTTGCTTCAATATTTTCCTACTCTCTCTTTATATAACTGTATTTATTGTAATTAAATTTTTGCTTGTTGAAAAAAATAACGATGTGATCCGTGGCTATTTATGGATATTTTAGGGTCAATAAAGATGAATATAAAAATAACGCAGGTGAGCTTGCGATTTATTTTCTGGATTTACGTAGTTTGAAGAGCGTGCGAGATTGCGCTAAAAACTTACTGACGAACGAAGCAGCTATTCACATACTAATAAATAATGCGGGTGTAGCTACGCATCCGTACGAAAAGACACAGGACGGAAATGAGACAACATTTCAAGTCAATCATCTTGGTCACTTTCTTTTGACACTTCTGCTATTACCAAAAATGCACTTGTCTTCTCCCAATTGTAGAATAATCAATGTCTCGTCATTTTCATATATTTGTACGTATTGCAGTTATGGTGTTAATAAAAAGAAACTAGAAAATTTTTCGTTTATGTTCAGGATTTTTGTTTAAAATACAATTGTAACAGAAATATTTTATTATAGTTGTTGACATAGATTTTAATGATATTAATCTGGAAAAATCTTACGCACCATTTAAAAGTTATGCACAATCCAAATTGGCGAACATTCTGTTTACTAAGGAACTTGCTCGTCGATTAAAAGGTATGCCAAAAGGAGATGTATTATTACGATTGGATTAGATCACATTTTAATATCTATTTAATTAAACTTAACAATTGCTAATCGATCATTAATGATTTGTTACGTAATGAAAAAAAAATACATGGAAGATAGACTTTTAACAAAGATTTTAATTTTTAGAAGCAAATATTCGCGGGAAGATAGACTTTTAACAAAGATTTTAATTTTTAGAAGCAAATATTCGCGGGATAAACGTATACTCTTTACATCCCGGTGTTACTGGAACCGAAATAGCACGATATGGCAATAACATATTTCCATATGCAACTTATTGTCATGGTTTATGTGCAAAATTGTTTTGTAAAAATGTTGAACAAGGAACACAAACAACAGTATATTGTGCAGTGGATGAAGAAACAGCTAATGATACTGGATTTTATTATTCGTAAGAACACATATATTATTTATTATGCGAAATTATTTTTATGCAGAGTATGATGCAGTTCTGCATTGTCATCTTTTGTCTTTTTTCTATGTATAGAAACTGCAGTGTCGCTACTACATATCGGAAGGCAAACGATCCACAATATGCCGAAAAATTGTGGAATGTATCTTGTCAACTTTTGCATTTGGAACCAGAAGAAGATTTCATCACATTTTTGAAAACTGTTTCACGTCAAATGCTTTAAAAATATTCTACATTTTCAGTCAAATTATCGTGGAATATACAGTGTGTGTGTGTGTGTGTGTTTATTTTATAATATTTATGTTTGGTCATTTACAATATTTACAAAAATTCTCTAACGAAAGAATTATGTAAAGATTTGTGCGTACAACGTCAAGTTATTTGCATGAATTATAATGTTATCTTTTAACGTCTAAGGATTTTTTATTTCTAACATTGGATCTAATTATTATTTCGCTCCTGATTTTTCATGATTTAATAGTGACTGTTGTTAAAAGAATTTCTTCATATTTGTAATAACTTCGTGATGCTTTTTTTTATGAAGAGTCTTTATATCTTTTTCTTGAAAATCGCGACTTTGTTTGATTTTTGTCGCAAAAGTAAAATGAAATATCAAAAGATGTAAAATTTAGTCAGAATCTTTTGTCAGCAAATATTAGTCAACGCGAGAAAAGACAATACACCGTTTGATTATATTGATAACATTTAATATTTTATAATGAATAATAAGTCCATTAAACCATTATTATCTCATTATCCACAATTATTGGACCCTGTATTGAAACTTTCGGGTTATCACGAGAATAACGGACACAAATTCTGATTCAGATGAGGAGAAATCGGATGTAAAATCTTATGAATCGTCGACTGAGCGAACAGTCGTCGCGATGAAATAATACGCCACCAATACTGAAATATCGGTTATCGATGACGAAATATCGGCGGTTCTTTTCACGTGCCTATCCCTATTTCAAGTTCTGCGAATTATCCTTCTACACCCTGCATTCCGCCGGGAATGAAATATCACTCCCTCCGGGAGAATTTGATATACTGAGACACACGCGCAAACCCCATTACGTCACGTTTACGGCGACCGCAACACAGAAACTTGATAATTACATTACGTCACATAGCCCTCTTTTATGACAACTACATACATTACTAAGAGGCATGTGATTAAAGCTTATTCCGCCGACGACGCTTTGCATGTACAGAGTATTCAACTTTATCAGCGATGCATTTTTCACAACTCATATAAACTCATATAGTTATGCAGCTTGATGTGTAGTAGACTATTGTACAAGTAAATAATAACCTATATAAATAACCTCTATATACTCTGGACGAATAAAAAAAATTTCTAAACAAACTGAGATAAACTGTAAAGCACATACCTAAGCGCGATAAGATTAGATTGGGATTAAATGTCGGTTGGTTATTCCGAAGAATATTTTTTTCTATTGTTGGTATATGTTACATGTATTTAATTACAAGTATTATAAAAAATTATTTTTCTTTTGTGGTCTAAATAAAACTTACTCTATATTTAATAAATCAGTGTATCTTTTACTGATTGGCTGTATTTATGTTTTAGCTTCTTCTCCGACTTGAGCCTGGCAAGCACGACTCTGATGAACCTTTTGGCAGTCCTTTTCATGATTCAGCTATTATTCATCGTAGGCGCTGAAGGATTACAGGTATTTTTATGTTTCTCTGTTTTCTGTTTATTACGAGACAATCATCTCGCATATAATAGCGTCGTGACTATATGTACGACTAGTTTATAAACGATCAATTGTCATTTTTCAATAATTTTGTAATGGTTATTGGTTTTGATTCTGCACAATATTATAATTTCATATTTATTCTATTACGTTATAATTAGCTCGATTAATTCCGTTCGCGTTGCCGCGATTCAGGAAGTTAGAATTCGCGTTGGTAAATAATTGCTCATTCATTGACAACGCGGTGATACGTAAACAACATTGGGGTCGTTGTTAATGGCAATTTGGTATATTTGTTACCATGTTCGGAATAAAGACCGAATGAAACGAACAACCGCGATTATACCCGGGACTTGTAATTACCGAAAGAGCCGTGGATTCACGTCGCACGGACCTATCGTGTAGCACAGCACGTGTGTAATTATTGGGTTACTGTCAGGCATATCTTGTTGACAAGTTTTATCGCGATTAAAACGAGATAGTTTGTGGCATTTGGAACAGTCGATACAATACCAAACCGTGCATCGCGTGTCGATTCGCTGAGATTGAATTTCGACCGCGAACAATCTCGCTTTTTTTCAACCAATTCCTAAAATGGTCAGATAAGTGTCAGTCGCACAATGCAGTTTATTTTTTAAGTCGATTACGTCGACGACTTAAGAGATCAGTTTGTTCATTTAACAATAAATTTATAAAATTCTACCGATTAATTATTTTAAAATATATTTAATGAATATTACATTTTAATTATAATAAAATGTAGGTATATGCATTGGCAATGAGTACTTTTAAAATTTGCATATTTTAATGCAATACCATGTCTCTGTAAATCTTTTGTAGGCATTTCTATTTAAAGAAAACGCTTTTAGAAATGAAAAAGAGTGGAAGAATATAAATAGACTATTTGATTGTTAATAATTTTCTTAAATGCTGGCAATTAATTAACTCGTATCATGTTGTCTCCGTTATTAATAATGATAATATATCAACATGTCGTGATAATATATTACATTATATGGTTGAGTGACTCGTCAATTGATAAATTAACCATTTATTTCGTTGACGATATATTAAAAAGACTATAATATTCACGCAATCATATTTTTTTCTCATAATATCATGGAACTGTTGCAATTTAGTAGCCTAACATAAAAAATTACAGTGTTACTCACCAGTTTCAGCGTCTCGAAGTTTCCTCTCTTCAGCATGTCTATTAGCCTCCGATGTTCCATTTCCTCCTTCGTCATCTTCCTATTCTTCAATTTCTCGTTTTCATAATCGTCGCACAAGATATTGTGAAAATTCACCTGCTGCACCACATGATCCGGTCTCGTTTGCTCGACCGGATTTTCCGGCAGATCCTGCTCAAATTGCAGATTCTTAACGAGAACTTCGTTGACCACTGCACCACGTTCGTCGCCGGCGTTCTTCGTCGCGTCTTCCTGTAACTTTTCACCGAACTGAAGTTTACTCCGGGAAGGATCATCCTCGGTCTTCAGCCTCGAGCCCGCCTGATTCTCCAGTTCATCCACAGGAATTGTGGCGGTCGACAAATTGCTGTTCTCTCGCGAATGCATCGTCAGTTGGTCCTGATCCTCTCGCGACGCGTCCTCGTAACCGGCCACGAGATCCTGGAGGATTGTCATCGACGCGTCTGGATCTTGTCTAATCTCTTCGTGACCTCTGGACTCTTGTACCTCCGGAGATCGAGACGTGACACTCGATTTAACGTTACTCTGGCAGGATGACGCTGATTGAAAAGTGGCGAAAGTTCTCGCGGGCTCATTAAGAACAACCGGCTGCTGTTGATTCCACTTAACATAAATCGGATTGTCCCTCCTCTTGTCCGCCGATTCTTTCGACCTGCCGTTCGGCAGACTCTTCTGCACCTTCAGACACTGCTTCAACCCGATCTCCGGATACCTGCGGGCCGAGCCTTCGCTCTTCCGCTCGTCCTCCTCGATAGTCTCGAGATGCTCGTGTCGCAGCTCGCCGATCCTGTCGAACGTGTCGTCCTCGACGAGCGTCGATGACGTTTCTTTGACAGCTGACTCTCGATCTCTAGAAACGCCGATCTTTTCACCGTAAGGCGACGCTTGCAGAGAAGGTCGAAGAATTGATTCGAGATCATCTGCGTGGATCACTTGCGGTTGTAGACTACGTTCATAGATCCTCTCCACGTGATCAGGAGAGGCATAACGCGTTGCTCTGACAGACGGAACGTTTTCGCAGACAGCAATCTTGGGTCTTGTGGCGTTCTGCTCATTCGGCTGATGTTGCTGCGATTCACTGATCGCGGTGTAGGCTCGATTATTTGGCTTGAAACTCGACGAAGGTGCGCTAATTGACATTTTCGCTCGATCTTGCGATCCAGCGTCTCGCGAGGGAGACGCACCAAGATCCTTGCGCGGCAGGATCAGTGGCCTTCTAACCTCCATCGACGCCCCTGCGACACCCTGGTGACACCTGGATCTCGGAGTACGCGACTCCACTTGACCTTGAAGAGCCCGCACACGAGCGCTAACGGCCGAGCCATAAATCGGTTGCTCCTGCCGCGATTGATCGACCGATCTGGGCTCCCTTCTGGCGTCGCTGCAAAACTGAAGTCGCCGTCGCGGCGATTCGATCGCGACGACGCGGTCAGATTCCGCCAGCGAAGCGATCCTCGACGAGCTACCTCGAGAATAGTTCGCGGCGCATCTCGACACTTCCGTCGATTTACAGGCCGCCTCGACCGCTTTATCGGCGGCGGCGGTGGGTCGCGGCGTCGGCCCGCTCGCCGTAGCAGCCGGCCGCCTACTTTCTCCGTCCTTATTTGGTGAGATCGGCTTGCCTTGGTCACTGAGGCTGCTGCCTCCGGGCAACGGTAGGCCCTTCGAGGGGCCCGGCTCGCGCGACGGGTCCATCTCCTCCTTAACAAGTGAGCGCACCACCGCTGCTGCCGCCGTCGCACAGTTTTCATCCACGCCGTTTCCAGAACGCTTCAGCGACGGCCTTCTGTAGGAAATTATCGACGATGTTGTCGTCATCGTCGTCGTCATCATCGACGTCGTACCGGTCGATATCTCGATCATCCTCGAACTGTTGTTAATGTTCGTCCTACCGTAATCAGACTCGCCCGTCGCCTTCGCCGAATTCATAATTCTACTCGCGGCTATGGTTTTCTCTTCAAGATTCGCTTCGGCATGCCTGGACTTGAAACTCGAACCAAGAGGTCCTCTCTGAGGGATCCTAGAGGTCGGATTGGAGTCACCGGATCTCGATGACGTGATATTCGACTGAGCGCTGAAGCCGTAATCCTGCTGCTTACTCCTCACCGCCAAGTACTCTTTGTACGTGCCTCTACTAGTGTTCACGCCGACGTTCACCTTCTCCGGCCTGGCGCGCTCCAATCTGCGATTCACGCGGGTCAGATCGTCGTAACTCGACGAGGTGCCTCCGTTCAATCTGTCCCGCGCCTCGTCGATCGATGACCGAGACCGCGAATCCTGGCCACGGTACTTTCGCTGGCTCTTCTGCTCGGCGCTGCTGTTGGACCTGGTCAGGGGTTTTTCACGAGGAGCTACCGGAAAGTTTTGGCTGTGCGCTTGATTCAACCATTCGTCCACCCTCTTCTGGACCTCCCCTTTGCGCAGCAAGATCTCAGGCATTTTCGAGCGACCGCTCTCAATCGCGTCCATTGCAACCGGCGGCGGAACACAGCAGATATCTTGCTGGTGTCCCTTGTTAGTGTCCCTCTGCCTGTCCCGCGAACGCTGTCTCACTTGTGTCTGCTGGTTCACCTTCAGCACCGATTGAATTTTTTCTCTCGTCGGGATGGACTTAGTTTGCATCTTCGCGCTGGACGATGACCTCGCCTGCCTCGACTTTACCTGCTGTCGTTTCTGCTGATCCATCATTATCGCCTCGAAATTTGTCACGCTGATGTTACCGACATCACTGAGATCCGACGATCTACGATAATCGAGATCCTCGTATTCGTCCAAAATATTGTTCACCGACTGCGTGTCGATCGAGCTGGTGCTCTTCGACTTGTTTCTCGCGATACTCTCGTCACTGCTCGAGTAATTGCTATGTTGCTGCTGTTGCTGCTGCTGCTGCTGTTGCTGACACTCTCGACTGATCTGTCGCTTGGGACGTGCCTTCAGCTTCTGGTATTTTATCACCGCGTTCTCGAAGCGCGACGAAGCGCTTTCGATCTCTTCGCTTTGACCTGTCTTCGGAGCGGACGATTGACGGGCATAACGTTGCTGAGACGACTCCCGCCGATGATTGAGCATCTTGCCGTCGTCGGACGCCGACAGGTCCCGCCTAGCAATCGCCGGTAAACCGGAAACCCGGAAGGTCGTGAAGCTCTGCACGTTCCGCGAACACGTGTCCCTCTCGGCGTTCGTCAACCCTTTCGACGTGATCCATGAAGTGACCGGGCGAGAGACGCCGCCGCCGCCGCCGTCCACATTGATCGCATCCTCGTCGGCGAAGGGAATGTTGCTGCCGACATTGGACTTTGAGATTATTTCATCGTTCATCTTCTATCGCAAAGCGGCATTGTAGTTGTATCTTCTCGAAGAGAATACCGATGACACGAAGAAAAATCCTGAAATGAAAATATTAAATATATAGATTCTGGCAAAAAATGAGAAAATGACGAATAGTTTTATTTTATAAATTTGATAGAATTTTGAAATTACGGAAGAAAGTCTAAAAGAAAGTCTATTCTGCATAAGACGATTTTTTTAATCATTTTTTCTAACAGCAAAGAATGTCGATTTATCACGAAGTAATAATTTAACGTATAAAAAAGATCTACATTCTTTTTTAATGAAGCACTATGTTGTTCAGATATGAAATGTATTATTGTTCAGACGTGCACACAATTGTGCACTGTTCTCTAGATACACTGAGAATGGAGAGAAACTAACGCAATTTGTCGACTAATTTATCAGCTTTGATAATGGGATTCATTTTGCGATAAAATTTTAGAAACTGCTCTTCCGATTGCTCGGGTACGAATAACAAAAATTATCCACTAGGAAACGGTTCATACAGAAACTGTTCCCGCGTAAATCCAACGTAATAAAGTCTCAAACTCGCAGATGCGCAACGTGATGTGGCCGGCGAAGAACGTTTCCCTCATTAATTTTTCAACCTGCACAAAATTTATGTGCGTGCTCCGCGCTAAATGGTACTGCCGCGGCTGCATTTCCGTTTGAAATCTCCACATGCGCATTATGCATCATTTTAATTTGCGAACGCAGACTACTATTTTGCCAGTGAGTCGACAAAGATACAAAGTCACAATAATAGATCGAGAAAGGCCGATAATTTTTAACAAAATCTTCAGGAAATTCAACAACGCTTAATTCCACAAACATTTAATTCCGAAAACGTACCAGTCTAGGCTGGAGAATCGAGGCTATCTTACGAGATACAGTGTTAAGTTTAAGATTAAAATTCCCGTCTCGGTAAAATTCGCTATTTCGAACTCAGCCACGTTCTGGAAATCTCGCCGATCGGCGATAAATAGCAGAAGGCGCGCTTCCGTAACGATTGCGCCGATCCGACGCCGCCGTCGTTTGCCAACATTGGAGGCACGTTCTATCGTTCGTGGAATTTCCGGTAGCTGACCGGTATCCGGTTTGAATTAATTCGGTTCCTGAGCTCGGAGACATTAAATATTATAATGTGTTCGCCCTGTGGAAATCGTGCGTGGAATCCTTAAGACACTCAAGAGATTAACGGAATTTAATATACCCGCGGAGAGAAAGAGAGAAAGAGAGAGAGAGATACCGGTAATGCGAAACAGCATTATTTCTTCGTAAAGTGAACCTGCGAATTAGTAGTGTCTCGTAAATTATTAGGAAAGTCATCGAGTACATCAGAAAACTTTTAAGTAATGAAAGTAATACTTTGTTCAAGCTTATAATATTTCAAAATTGAATTTATAAAATATGATTCCCCTAAGTTGCTTACTTATTTATGTTAATGTCTTTCTTAAATCGACCAAGATAATTTTCTTTTTAAGAATATAAAATATATCAAAACAGAAATTGAAATATACGTAATTAGTTCAGACAGATTTTTTACAAACAAAATTCTAGATTTTTATGTTTTTATTCCCCTGTACATTTTCCGTGAAGTACAAATAAATTTCGAGAAGTAACATTCATACTTTTCGTATATAAATATGTTTTTAAGTCCATCAATGACACCACCAATGACTTCCCTCCCGAATGAAATCGCGATAATACATGTCGATAATGTAAATTTGTATAATTAACAGAATTTAATTCGCCGAAAATCTGGCTCGCCGATGAGAGGTTATTAAATGTATAATAACGTGAGAGGGTCTCGAAAGCAAATCGAACAAAATCGCGACTAATGGGGGCGAATGGAAAATACGAAAAAGCGTGCTGCTTATCGGAAAACATCAACCGGATCAATTGCATAGTTTCGGTAAACAATTGGTTTTTAGCGATAATGTATCGCCCGACAAAAATAAAGATCGACCCGACGATAAATATTCATGAAAACGTTTCGCGATAAGAGCACGGGGGGAGGGGGGAGTAGCTGTATAATCGGATAATATTCGCGAGCGTGTAAAAAGGGAGCGGTGGATTTTATTCCATTTAATTACAATCCGCTGCGCGATAGCCATCGCCGGTGCGCCGATTATAATTCAACGACGCGTTAAAATCAGCGAGCGCGTAAAGTAAATATTAAAGCGAGAATCGTTTGGTACCTGTTCGCCGAATATCGTCAATTCCCGCGGGGAAAGGACGGGAAGGAGAGGGTAGATGCAATTCACATGAGACAGTAAGACCGCGCGCGAGCGGCATAAATTGAATTAAACTGTCGCGGCCTCGCTGTGCTCTGTATTACTGCAAGCTCTTCTGGCGCTCTGATGATTCCCAACACAAGCACACGCTCCGAAGCCCCCAGGCTGGAATTCTACTTTTAGATCGCAGATAACGCGTAACCCACCGCGTCGTAGCGAAACATACGTGAATCATGCGTGTCACGAGTGACGTTGGCGTCAAATTGACCTTAAGCCGGCAGAATTGCAAGTCCTCGTGCGTTTGGCCGAAATTAATTCGATTAATTTTATCTTAAATGAATTCATTTGTATTTCGCGCCTGCTAATCAATTGCAAAAGTTCTACATATAGAAAATATTTTTTTGCAACAATCAAATTCGTATCGCTCACTGAAAAATAATATATTACAATAGATTTGTGTTTTTCGTGTCATGAAATATGCAACGCGAAAGAACGAAGTTTGTCGAAATAAACTAAACAAAAAAAAAACAAGCACGGAGATAATCAAGACAACGCGACTGAAAAAGATATACCAGAATAAATTTCTCTCTCAAAAATGTTTTTATTAAAAAGCTTTAATTATGTCATTACGTGACATGCAAATGAGAGTAAAGATTGTGCTTGCGCTGGGTTATAATGTCAGTTTCCCGACAAAAATGTTTACCGTGTGTACTCCAGGAATGCGTGCCATAGGTGTGTGTTAGCTAGCGTAATTAACGGTACTGGAAAATTCAGGTGTTTCCGCAAATGCACTGACCCGAATCCTCTACGTGCGCACTACACACGCGATGCACGGAGGTGACTACGATCTGCGGCGATTATCGCGATTTATCGTCCACAAGCCACTCGTCGCGATTCAGCTCGTGATGTCGTCTCGTTAGCGAGCCCCTCGGTACTCGCTGTCGCGCAATGCTATTCCCTGCAACTTACAGCGGTTAGGATTACGATGTCGGAAGCAAGAACTCACACGTAACTTTTTCTACTAGAACATACCTTTGGAACAAATAAATTTCCATGTATATTTTAGACGGAAATTCGAATTATTTTCAAACATAAACGTATGAACGTGTATGTGTACGTGTGTATTTATTTATTTATACGTATGCATATATACGTACATATAATATATATTTTATGCGATACAATAACAGCATTCGATCGTAATACACGTACGTTGCGCGGCGACAGCTGTAGTCTCTGAAAATTCTGTTTCGCGAAATGCCTCCGCACAGATTTGTTCTCACAATGTTCGCGAAAAAAGGTGAATATATTCCGCTGAGAACTCCGCAAGATGTCAGCGGCAAATCGGTGCCGCGCATATACATAATTCATCGATTGACATTCCCGAATGAATTGCGGCGTGTTAGAATCGCGGTGAGACGACAACGACGGAATGCAAAAATGATCGCGTGGGCTTAACGACCGTGGCACGGTTGCGTAAAAACGAGGGACGGTAATCGACCTACGATCGCGGAAAGCAAATACGTATGTACTTCGGGAACGGACTCGTTAGCCGGACCGTGAGGTAGTACTGTGCACGCTATTTAAACCTTTTAACCTTTCAATTAATCGGGTGACGAGATCTTTGATCTCTTCCCATGTAAGGGCTACGTAGATTATCCGGATTATTCATGCTAGCATTAGCGTGGTTTCGAATTTCTTTTGATTTTGAAAAACTAAAATTAAATCAACTAAAAAACTAAACATACAATATTTTATTTTGATAAAATTGTAATGCAATGTATATTATAATGAAAAGTATGTAGCAAAATTAAGCATAAAAAATTTAAGTATCACAAATCTGTTATCTTTCTTTTAATGTAATTTTTATTAAATGCTTTTTTCGAAAGTGATAAATAATACTAAAAATATATATCAAGACAGACACAAAAAGTATAAATTTTTTTCATTAATCTCTTCTAATAAAAAAAAACTAAAAAATACATCTTCTTTTAGTTGATAAAAATTTGTTTAATTAATCGACTGTACGTTACGCTCATTATTGGCCCCGAGGAATATTCTCTGTGAAAGTTTTGTCATGAGTATTCTCATGATGTTAATTATAAAGTACAATGGCCAACATCAAAAAACAGAGAAAATCAACATTTTGTTTACTAAGTCACAATAATAAAACTGAACGTTCATGTGAAACGAAAATTCATTTTCGTGTTGTATTTTCTACGACATTTATTCCAAAAACATCAAAATTAAGATAAAATGAGAAAATTATTCATTTAAATGCGACAAGCTGTTGCAATTTAATCGGGCGCTTTATCAACATGTTGGAAACATTTAACGTGTATTAACGTGCGTTCATTATTAAACATCTGAACAAATGATTAAATTATTGTAGTGTAAGAGAAACTAATTTACTTACGAATATTCGAATGAAAATTTTATAATTTGTTCTATTTAAATATCGATATTACAATATTTTAACCGACCTTTTGTTTTTCTGTCTCTCATAAAATAAAATCTAGTGTGCAGCAAGTAGCAACACACTAAGAAGAAATAATCATTTTAATACGGACGGTGACACTTACACGCGCGGAAATCAGCTTTCAGGGGTACTCAATCGTAATCGCGGGTGTTTTGTCAATTACTTCGTTCAACCGACGATACTTCTCGTGCGGAGACCGGAAGACACGGTCGTTTCCTGCGGTAGCGCCGTAATAAAACGTACCGCACGTCTCGTAGCGCACACGAGAGCAA